CTGCAGAGCCTCAGCCAAACCCCTGGGTGGAGTCCCTCCACAGCAGCCCTGAGGTCACTGAGGTGAAGGAGGTGAGAGGTCCTATTCAGCCCCTGAGGCTTTCTTCAGGGGATCAGGAACTCAGTGCCGAAAATAGAGCCGCAGTGATACCAGGTTAAGTGCTGGTAATCACTTCATACAGTCAAAGAAGCAAACCGGGAAGATCACCAGTGTCACCTAGGGCCGCCCGGTGACAGGATGACTGAATTGATGGCACAGAAGGAATCAAGCTCTTAAACTGTGCAGGATTAGCAGTCTGTCCATGCCTGAAGGAAGTGAGATTGAGCTTCATTTGTAGAGGTAGAGTTTTCCTAGTCATGTTTTTCTTTGTGATATTTTTTTTCTCAACTGGAAATAGAAAATAAACAACCAACCTTAGTTAACCTCAAATAAATTAATGTGTGGCATGAAAATCAGACACTTGGTTAGGTGTGTATGGCTCTGGAAGGGAGTTGCAAACTATAACACATAAATCAATGTTATTTGAACAATAAAATTACTGGTAAGGTACTGAAAGGGTAAAAACTTACCCTTTTAAACCTTTAAATTCTTAACTTTTAATTTTTAAAATACACGAGTAAAACAAAATATAAGGACAAACTTTAATCTCAAACAGCTATATCTATGGGCCTTTACAGACAGGGCACAGTGGGCAAGAGTTCCTGATGAGCAAGCACAAAGACCTGAGGTAAGATCACAGCACCCACATAAAAAGCCAAGTATGGCTGCTTATGCCTAAAACCCCAGCACTGTGTGGGTGGAGACTGGATTAGTGGGGCTTGCTGGCCACCAGCCTAGCTCCAGGTTCGATGAGAGACCCTGCCTCAAAGAAATCAGACAGAGAGTGATAGAGCAGGACACTAAGCATCCTCCCTGCACAGACACATGCACACACCTACATGTACACACATATACACATACAGACCTTACAAACAGAAACTCATAAAGCAGGAGTTCACTTCTTATAGGCTACTGAGTGTTGTTGACTCTAGCTAGTTCCCATACAATGCGTGCTTCTTGAAGAGATAATGGTATAAACTGAGGACATGACTGCTCCCAAGGTATGGTTGAGGGGAAGGTTTTTATTGTAAACATGAAGGAGAGTATAGCCAGAGCCATCTGGAAGTGTCCAGGGCAGGGAGAGGAAGTAGCAGACAGAACATGGCCAGCAGAAGGGACTTGTTCATGAAGAGAGAGAGAGAGAGAGAGAGAGAGAGAGAGAGAGAGAGAGAGAGAGAGAGAGAATGAATAAGGGTACAGGAGACCAAGGAGGAGGAGCTAAGAGAGCATGTGGCCAAAATAGTAGGGTTATGAGGGAATGAGACGCTAGGGAAGGGAAGCCCATGAGTTGGAGAGCTTTAGGGTAGGGAATGGGTGAGAAGAGCCAAGAAGAGCCAGGGTGTGTTAATCCCACCAGTGGAGAATAAGACCACTATCACAATTTAAAGCCAAATTTGAAGCAAGTTTTAATTGAATACTGGTCAGGTTGATGGCCAGATCTATCTCTGGGTTTCTAGAATGTAGCCCCAAGTCACAGTTTTCAGGAGCTTAAAAAGGCAAAACTCATGATTCACCACATTTCCCATGGGGTCCAATCAGTGGTAAGCGCACATCCTGACGTATTTCCTGCCCACATGTGATCGAGCATGTGAGGTGCAGATGGTCAGATGAACTTGCCTTGTTACCTCCCATAAACAACAGCCTCCAGCATTTCAGGAAGTATCTGTCCTTAGGCAAGGGGCTTGCAGATCAGAGGTGTTTTTGTTTCATGGATCTCTTAGGCACCATAATTAAAACTTATTTTTTATTGGTTCTCACACATGCCAGCAAGGACTCCTGTTATTTTTATCTAAGTTACTCTATCTACCAAGAAAGACTCGGGGTGAGAACCTGCTAGCTCAGAGAAGCCGAGAAGCAACCAACTGACCTTCCTTTTTGGCTGGAGACACAGCAAGAGAGCATCCCTTCTTCTCTAAGTCCCTCCCTACTCCTTCCTGTGGGTCTCCCTATACATATTCCTGGGTCCTCCGCACTCTCTATGACTAATTCTTGTCAACTAGTCGCTGGCTCCACCCCTGATCCCAGGCTGATTTTATTAACAGTCTCAGAATGTCACAGTATGATTAAATAGCCACACCAGACTCAGTAACAGATAGAGCCTGTGGCCAGCATGTGCTTGGTATCCTAACAGCACCACAGAGAGCCGTTTGTGTGGAGTTTCTTCTGGACCTAACAGTCATGATGATTTTAAGATGGGGGGGGGGTGTTTCCAATGTTTTATAGTAAATAACTATTTCTGAAGCCATCCTTTTACATGTTGCATTGATTTCACTTCCCCCTCTGAGAACTGGTTCCTATTCGGTCATAATTTAAGTAACTTGCTGTTGCAGGAATCTTAAAGGGGCTTATTAATAAAAACAAACCCGGAGCCAGGTATTGGGGTGAATGCTGGAAGATCAGAGAAACAGAACAGGCCACAGCTTCCTCACCTGATCCTGTTTCCTCAGACTGGAAGCTTCTGAGTCTTTATCCAGAATGAATCTCAGCTGAACTGCTTCTTGAAAGCCTGAAAGCTTAACCAGCCAAAAGCTTCTAGTTTCTGGTCTTCACGCCTTATATACTTTTCTGCTTTCTGCTATCACTCCCTGGGATTACAGGCTTACTTTCTGGGATTAAAGGCGGGAGTCACCATGCTTGGCTGTATCCTTGAACACACAGAGATCCAGGTAGATCTCTCTCTGCCTCTGGAATGCTAGGATTAAAGGTGTATGCTACCACTGCCTATCCTCTATGGCTGTTCTGTTCTCTGACCCCAGATAAGTTTATTAGCGTGCACAATATTCCGGGGAACACAATACCACCACAACTTGCTCAGAGGAAATAATAAAAATTCTAAATAGAAGCTCTAATTCAATGCAATTCATTTATTTGCTGAGGGTTGAGTGACTCGTATATTACTTGGGAAAACAAATGGATCAACAAGAATAATTTGCCTTTTTAACACCTAAGAGAACAAGTGTTTCTGGTGTGTGTGTGTGTGTGTGTGTGTGTGTGTGTGTGTGTGAGAGAGAGAGAGAGAGAGAGAGAGAGAGAGAGAGAGAGAGAGAGAGAGAGATCTGCTGCTTTAGCTCATTTTTCCCAGCCTCCCTTTCCTCAATGGTAAAGCGTTACACAAGGAATTTTTAAATGAGGTGATATATGAGAAAATGCTTCAAAATTTTGCATTAGCCAAATTGCATTTACATTAGCACATACTGGGGTGAGCATTGTCTTGGCTTTTCTACATTAAAAGTCAACTCTATGTGTAAGTGACAGGTGGAGGAAGCCTTCTAGCCTGCTAAGTATGCCCATTCCAGATTGGTCAGAAAGGGCTGACTGTGTGGTGGTTCTACCATATTGAATGAAAGACTGAATTGACCCCTCCCTCCCTTAATGTGTGGATAACTTAGTTTGCTGATACATATGCCACCCTGCTTTTTGTTTCTTTTGAATTTTAGGAAGGCTGGCTTTTACTTCATTGCATGCTAATTTTTGTCTGAGCTGTTTTAAGTTCTCAGGATTTTAAGAATTGTATCAAGCCCAGTGGAAGGAAAGTGAGGGAGAATGGGGAAAGAGGGTCAAGATCAAATACAGTTGATTTTACTCTTTACTTTTTACTCTTTGACTCGGTGGGGGCCACCACCCAGCTCCAAATAAATACACAGAGACTTATTCTTACTTATGAATGCCTGGCCTTAGCTTGGCTTGTTTCTACCCAGCTTTTCTTAAATTATCCCATCTATATTTTGCCTCTGGAATTTTATCTTTCTATATACCTTTCTTTGCTTCTTACTCCATCTCTTTCTGTGTGGCTGGCTGGCCCCTGGAGTCTTCTCCTTCTTCTTTTGTTCCTTCTATTTAGTCTCTCTGCCTGGCCACCCCACCTATTTCTCTCTCCTGCCTTGCTACTGGCCATTCAGCTCTTTATTAGACCAATCAGGTATTTTAGGAAGGCAAAGTAACACAGCTTCACAGAGTTAAATAAATGCAACATAAAAGAATGCAACACATCTTTGCATCATTAAACAAATGCTACACATCATAAAAGAATGTAACACATCATTAACTAATATTCCATAACAATCAAGTGTTTCTTTCTATGATTAAACATTTCCATCCTTTCTTGGTTGAAGCAGTATTATTAGGTTCTGATCCAAAGATATTTGAAAAGATCCCTCCCTGAGGGGGACCCTGCACCAGCTGAAAGCATTGAACAGGGAACTGGTAGCTGTTACTGGAGGGCTTCTCTCCAGGTTCCCCAAGCCCCGCAGTCCCACAATCCACGTATAAAATAATCACTCAGACGCTTATATCACTTATAAACTGTATGGCCATGGCAGGCTTCTTGCTAACTGTTCTTTTATCTTAAATTAACCCATTTTTATAAATCTATACCTTGCCACGTGGCTGGTGGCTTACGGCGTCTTCACATGCTGCTTGTCCTGGCGGCAGCTGGCAGTGTCTCTCTGCCTCCCCTTCCGCTTCCCAGAATTCTCCTCTCTCCTTGTCCCACCTACTTCCTGCCTGGCCACTGTTTTATTTATTGACCAATCAGAACAATTTGACATACAGACCATCCCACAGCAGGTAGCTGTGTGACCTCAACAAAAAGTTCTCACCCAGGTCAGGGAAGATTCTATGGCAAACGAGTGTAATCAGCTTTTGAGGGACTGAAATGTGTTTACTCTTATAAATTAACATTTTATTTACTCTTGCTGTGTTGGGGTTTATTTATTTACACCTCTGAGTTTAAAAGTTTTGCTTTTTGCTATATTTATTTAGATACCTACAGCTGCAAAAGCACTTGGCCTTTAGATATAACACAGACATCCCAATTCAAGGAAAAGTTCAGGGTGCATTTGGGCTGTGGCATGCTTGAGATACCTGTTTAGAAGTCTAAGTTTAACACTTTGATTTTCCAGGCTGTACCCACGCCATGCAAGTGCGCTGAACAACCTTGGGACACTGACAAAGGACGTGGCAGAGGCAAAGATGTACTACCAGAGGGCACTGCAGCTCCATCCGCAGCACAACCGCGCACTCTTCAATCTGGGGAATCTCCTGAAGTAAGGAGAGTGGCTTCTGCTGGCTGGGCGGCCTGGAGAGTTCCAGAGACCCTTGTTTCATTGTGCTACCAATACCTCTTCCTAGCGTTGGCAATTAAATCTACTTCTTGTTAGTTAAAAGCTATATTTCTCGGAATGTCTTTCTGGGATCAGCCCATGGGTTGTCTGCCACAGGGAACAGAGAGGGTTACACAGTCAAGGAAACTTAGCATGTGCTGTGTTACAAAGGAGGGGATGCTACAAAGAGCTTTCCTATGCTCTAGTCCCTTGTGAACCTTTATGAAGGACTCTAGGGGGTACAACCATCCCAAGACTAACATTCCACAATAGACCTCCAGGAAAGCAGAGTTCTCTGAGGGTAAAACGAAGGGCCTGACCAGGGTTTGTGCTCAGTGTGGATTAAGGTTAAAAAAAAAAAAGCCAGGCTTGTCTGGAGTTAGACTAATTTTCAGGAGGGGCTAGAAATATAGCTCAATGGTTAAAAGCAGGAACTGCTCCTGCAGAGGACCAGAGTTCAGTTCCCAGCCCCCACTTTGGGTAGTTCATAACTGCCTGTAACTCCAGCTCCAGAGAATCTGATGCCATCTTCTGGGTTCCACAGGCACCCACACATGTGTGAACATACACAGACACACATAAATAAAAATAAATCTTAAAAAATAAAATAAAACATATTAAAACACATGGAAAGGGTGAAGTCTAGTTACTGAGACAGCTAATTAGCTGCAGGCAGCACTTTTATTTCACTTTAGAGCCTCTGTGAACACAGAGTGTGTCATTGTGGGAAGTTGTAAGAACTTGAGTTTGAATGTTACTAGAGGGTCTGTGTGTGCTTTTGTGGCTCAGTGAGTCAGTAGAAAATCCCACAGGTATCTCCTTAGGTAATTGACTTCTATATAGCACTAGTTTCAGAAATCTTTTCAATGAGGTTTTTTTTTTTCCTCCTAAGAAGCCAACCTGAATGGCTGCCTACAGAGTAAGATTCCTTGTCAAGAATGCTCTCCAGAGTTCTGTGCTCAAACTGGACAACAGCTCGTGGCAGTGGTTCTGTCCTGTTTCCTCCTGCTGGGGACCAAGCTGAAGATGTTAATCTCCCACCCAGTCTGTCTCCACTGACCTCTTCAATAAGTACATTTGAGTTAAAACTATAGGAAAGCATGCTTTAGAATGTAGTGATGGCTGCTTTGCAGTGAGGAAAGCTACTGACTTACCGGTATAAGGCTTTCCCCCCTCAGTAAAGTAAGTTATCACCCAGATCAGTAGTATGGCTTTCATCCATGTAAGACTAGAGTGGTTTCTGGGGCCTTTTGTTTTTAATGGTGCTCTTCAAATGAGACCTCAGTGTGAGTGGAGAAGAGGAAATGGGGATCCTAAGAAGTGCCATGCATAGGGAGAAGCAGCCATGTCTTAGTGTGAGTCTCAGAATCTAGTGAATGAAAGCATGTTAATAGCTAACATTTGTGTAGTACTTTCTAACTAACTTAAGTTATATATACAATCTACTTGTAATGTATGTGTGTGTGTGTGTGTGTGTGTGTGTGTGTGTGTGTGTGTGTTTGTGTGTGTATAGCTGTACTATGTAATTCTTAAAACAACAGGTAAGGAACCCAAGGCTCCTCCAAGAGCTATGTGACCCTGACCTAGGCTTGTGACTGACCCAGGACTGAACTCTGCACTTTGACTCCTTGTCTTGTTTGTGCTACATTCCTGTTTTTCCTAAATAGTTCCCCAGCCTCAGATTACATAATATAAATCTGTGTAAGAGCTTGCCTTGGCCCTGTGTAGATTTCCTAATAGGCTTTCTGAAGGGCACAGTTCAGTTTGTTTTCATTATGTGGAGGTTGCTTGCTGAGTGATAGAGGAAGGTGGTGCAGAAATCTGCAGAGTTGCTCTGCATTTAGAGGGATCTGAGCTAACCTCTGCTCCCCTAATGGGCTGCTGGGCCAGGAGTGATGAGTAGAAATCAAGAAAAGGGCGAGAATGTTGCAAATGTGGGGTGAAGTGCCAGGATTTATTGTTTCTTCAGCATCCGTGCCCTAGTCCTCTCTGGAGCCAGCTTTTGAGTTATTGCAGTTTGCTTTATAAAACCATGCTTCTTTCTGTAGTGTAGAATGCAATGCTCACTGTTTGCATATGAGCAGCGCAGGTCTGACTGTTCCTAAGAGGCAGCCACTCATCATTCCTATTTAATAAATGAGGACACTAAAGTTTGGACCAGAGAAACCTCAGTCCTTTTAATTCAGCAGCCCTGACCACTGCCTCCTAGTGGCTCATGTGGAAAGTGCCAGCCCACTGTAAAATGGCCACCAACTGTCTGGTAGGAACTGAGAACTGTGTATGCAATGTCAGGAAGTCATATTTTAAAACATATAAAAATTAACTTTAATCTTATCTTTAGTTAAACCCTAATATGTCTAAATTATTATTTTAGTGCATGATTAATATTTAACAATGGTTTAAAATTTTAGCATAAAACATTGAAGATATGAATGAGATGACATGCTTTCTTACACTAAATCTGTGAAATCTAATATATATTTGACACTCACAGCCCATCTCAGAGCAGCTATACTTCAAATGTGCAATAACCACACGTGGAATGGTTTCTCTCTCGGCCAACACTGACTTTTACTAATAACCTTGACTTTGAAGGAAACACAGGTCCTTTGTCCAGGCCTGAAAGTCTAAAAATGAGAAGTTTCTCTGTCAGAGAATGCCAGCCAGCTCACTGCACACTGCTCAGATTCTTGGAATTATATGACCCCCACTTCAGCAGTAGACTCTAAGGGTTCCCCAACGTCTCATTTGAGCCGTTTCTTGAGACTTTGAAACTTCTCAGTTGTCTGTTCAGCATATAATGGTGGAAGACTGAGGAGCAGCTCCCAATTCATACTGATTAATAATGGCTTCTCTTGGGACTTAAAATATCAAAATGGAAAAATGAAAAAAGGAAAAGAAGCAAGAAAAGCTTGTGATTTTTATGGGCAAAGATTACAGAAGTCCCCAGTGTGTCAAGAGGGCACAACAGAATATTTAAGATCAGGGTATGGGGAAACATTTATGTGGATGCATGATTAAAATAGATAGTGGTGTTTGTTACTGAAATGAAAAATGGAGTATAAGTGCTCATGTCACACCACTGCCCATTGCTGCAGCAACCTTCCATTGCCTTAGAGGATGTCCAAAGTGTTTCTCTGAATCTGTGATGAAAACAATGACAGAATGTTCTAGAATGCCCATCAATGGAGCTGTGTGATAAACTGAACGGCAGTGTGTGTTTTATCTTCTTTAATCAGCTCCTTCAGAATGAAGACCTTCTAAAGACTGTGAAGGCATAGAAACATAACTATTATTTTATAAAAACTTCAGTGTTTGGGGCATGCTTCCTCACACCCTCTTCATTGGCCACACAATGTTTCATGAAGGAACATCTGTATGTGCACAGGATGGTAGATCTCTACTTCTCAGTGTTGTTTTCTTTTGAGATGGAGTTTCACTCTGTAGATTAGGTTGGCCTTGAACTCATGGCAGTCCTCCTGCCTCAGCCTCCTAGGTGCTGGGATTTCAGTCAAAACCCTTCACTTTTTACCTTCAGCACAAAATGCCAGTTTAGTGGGTAAAGGTGCACTCTCCCTGGCTGCTGCTACCGTGTGAGCACATCAGCTATGAGTGGGCAAGTTAGGGTTCTCCCTCTTGGCCTGAAATCCTCCACTCACTACCATAGTTACCTATTTGTAGTTAGGTGACTTCTGTCTTTATATCTATCCCTAACTCCTTATGCCTTTCCCTATCTCATGTTAGCCTAACTCATGCCTACCTTTCTGCAGATCTTCTCCAGCTTCCAAAGCCCAGCTCAGCGTCTCATGATGCCACCTGCATCTTCATCTCTGCATTTCACAGTATTCTCTATACTCTTCCAACCAGGCAGTAGTTTTCACTGTTCCACAATCTTGCTGCCATCAGTAGTGAACTTTAGTACCTGTCATCCCCTAGGTTCTGTTCATCCTTCTCTCCGAGGCTGTTCATCTCCACTGTGCTTGGGTACTTTCCAACATGGCTGTGCCACTAACTTTCTAAGAGTGCAGGTGTTTCCATTCTATAGTTCCTGGATTCTGACCTTTGACCTTGGCCTCTTCCCTCTGCTCACGCACCTTTCCTTTCTCCCACTCTCTTCACTCCTGCTGACCTTTATGAACTGTCATCTTGTAGCCCTTCTCTGTCTCTCTTCTGTAGTTGTTTTCTTTCCAGACTTTTCTGTTATCAGACCTCCATGATGAGCACAGTTCTCCCCTTATACCACCTTACTGCTGGCCTGTTCACAACTTTGTTAGATGCCCTCTATTAAATAGGTCGTATGACATTATTTTGCTCCTTATCCAATACCTAGTCTTCTTCACCTTCTCTATGGACTTGGGAGCACTTGTGCCCTCTGCACTGGCACAGTGTCCAAATGTTTCAGCATTCAGGATTTCCTGCCCCTCACCACTCATTTCTACTCTGCTGTCCTTGTGAACCCAGACCCAGCGAATACTGACCAGTTGTCAGTGTGTGAAAGACACCTGCCAGACCACATCGACGGAGGCCCTTCATAAGGCTTAGTTAACCCTATTCTAGTTCACTGGATATGCCCCACATCCACTCTCCTCTGCTCACAGTCAGTGTCTGCCCAGCAGATTTATCTGGGAAATGAGAACGTGTGCTACAACCCCTAACTGAGAACACAGCAGACCGTTACCATACTTCTGTGAACATTGACCCCACAACTGTGCTCACACCAGGACTCCTGGCTCTTAAATCCTTAGTGGAGTTCTCAAGCTGTGATAAACACAGTCCAGGCCAGAGCAGAGTGCCACAGGAAGCAGTCTTAAAGGAGCCCAGGACTTTGTTTACATCCTCTGGAAGGATTGTCATCCGCTTTCCCTGCACAGATATTTCTAGGAAAAAAGGTAATGTGCCAGGCCCGACTGCCTTGTCGAGTACAAGAGTTTTTAAGAATCTCC